GGGGGGGGGGGGGGGGGGGAATAAAACAGAAGGATACAAGAATGAAACGCGGCCGTCGACAATCACCAACACCAAAACTAACACCAAACCAACACCAACACCAACAACACCCACAACAACACCAACAAGGAAGAAATCAACAGCAACACAAACAACAACAACAACAACAACAACAACAACAACAACAACAAGGAAGACACGCGGCATCCTCCACGCGCAAACCGGACGTTACACGACGAAACGAAACCGTCACCTTGGCGCTGTAGTCGGCCCCCGACACGAGCCCTTTCGCCTTGAACGCAAACTTCGAGGGCGCCACTTCTGCACGCAAGGCACGCAAGGGGCACGGCAACAACGGGTGAGACACAAGGTTGTCGGAGAGAAGCAGCTTCGTAGAGCCCGCCTTCTTCTTTCTTGCGCACTGAGAACAACCAACACTGCGTGGTGCCCAATGGAGTGGAACTCAACTTTCGTAGATCCTGAACGTTCTTCATAAACTGGAACGACATACGACAACAATATGAACACCATGTTCAACCCCAAAGACGAGTGAAGCACCAAACATCGGTGGTGGCGCGAACGTCTCCTGTGAACCGCATACCGCAATCGCCCACAACGTCAGAATTATCCGACCATTGCGACGGCAACAGAGCAAAAAAAATCACAGCAGGAGCAGCGGCAGCAGCCGTCTCCCGCCGCGAAACCGTCTTCTTGTCTTCTCACCGCCTCCGTCCGCCCCCTGGTCAAGCAACTCCTCGGCCTGGGAGCACTCCAACTCCACGAGCTCCCGCGACAGCGCCGGCCCGAACGCCACCCGGATGTTCGCCAGGCAGCTGGACCTCGGAGGCGTGTGTAGGTCGGGGCTGGGCTGACCGTGCTGATACGTGGATGACGCCCCCCCCCATGTATGTGTGTGCGAGGGCGTGTAGCACAAGGTAGAAAAAAAAAGGTGGGGGAAGGAAGCTGTCGGAAATTCGGCTGGGCTTGGGCAGCACGCTTGGGCAGCGTGCTTGGGCGGGGACTGCTGTGGTGCTCTTGCTTGGCTACGTGGCGTTGGGTTGATGAACACTTACAAGGTCGGGAGGTCAGCTACGTTGGGTGTGGTTGGCCACGCTGAGAGGTGGAACACACACGCCGCGCCCTACAACGTCGGGAGACGGAAGCGTATGGCACCTTCTTGCAGGTGAAGGATACACCCCTGTCGCCGAAGTGGACGGCGTAGCGGGTAACGACATCGAGGATCCCCTTATATTGCTCGCCGGGGCTCTTGAATGCTCGCCTTCTCGTGTCCATGTTGTAGAAAAGGTCTTCCGCCTGACAGATAAAAGAACAAAGAGGACATGGTTCGATTTTACCGATAGCAGGCGGCACACGCACATAAAACCAGGATATGTCTTGTGTCAGACGTTTGAAACTAGGCGAAAAACGAAGAACTGAGAGAGAGAGAATTGATAGCAAAAGCACAGAACATCACGCGTGAGAAACGACACACACGAGTAAAACGTTAAACCACAGGGAAGCAATCAAGGCTTTCACCATCAAGGTCACTCCCAGCACATCCACCGCCGGAACGACCAACCGCACGGACACAAAAAAACACCCCGGTTGTACAACATCTCGAACGGGTCGTCATTCTTTGAAATCATGATATTTTTTTTCCTGAGAAACACACTCACAATCATTCCGCCCCATGATTCCCACTTTCGACACAGTGAGACTTCGCTGTGACCATCACCAAAGAGGCGTTCAGAGACGTCGCTCCAACGTTTACCAGTATGGTGGTCCCCGTGACGCCCGCGCACGGCTTGGGGTCGGCGCTCTGTCCGGGCCCTCCCGCCACAAGCCTCCCGTCCGAGTACTTGGCCTTGTACGCCACCTGAGAAGAGGGCGTCTTGGAGGTAATCGTCACCTGCAATCGTTCGGTCGAGACCCCGGGGGGCGCAATCGGGTACGGTTTTACCGTCCCGTCGGGGAGAAAGGAAGACGGGTTGAGACGTGAGGTGCTAGTTGAAAGTTGTCATCGCCGCCACCACATGGTTCATGTAAGACAGAGGGGCGATGGGCGGTCGAAATCACAAGAGGGAGGGGGGGGGGTTAGAAAGGGGACCTGGCTCCCGGCGGTCGGGTCAATGTAAATACTGCGATAGGGCTTACACGGCCATGTGACAAAACATATATCACACACACCAGAACGAGTTTTCAAAGCCAAATAGATTTCTCCACAGCAGAAAGAGCGGCGGTGCCGAAAATGGCGGCGTTGTCGAGGGCTTTCCGAAAACGCATCCTTTGGATTTTACATCCTCTTCGTCGTGGAGAAATCGAGCTTCAAAGAATCGGTCCAGGGGTGTGTGGTATATTGCGTCATGTCACCTACGAGTACGAACGCGTGTGCCTCTGTTGTCACCTTGGCGGTGTGGGTGATGCTCGCCAGAGCCTCTCCACGAAACCCGAAGGTCGACATCGTCCGGAGGTCGCCGAACTCCCTGAGCTTGGATGTGGTGAAACGCTCGCACACGATTGGCAGGTCCTCTCTGCAGACACAAGCGTGGTCAACAACACGAGAGAAAAGGAAAAGTCCAATTATCCTCGCAGCAGTCTTCTGGGCATTATTTAGCATGTGGTGTAAAAATAAGCGTGACTAAACTGACGATGAGATAGGGAGGTTCCGCGCTGCCATGCGACGATGAGACCATGGACCCTTGCAGACCACAAGGAAACGGAACATTAACAGTTGACAGGCACCAAGACGCCGTCAACATTTCAAGCCAAAAACAAAATCCCAAACACATGCGGGGAAGCCCAACGTCTGCGCACTTCATCATGCATCGCTTGTGGTCGACAACACCTCTACAAGCTTGAACGCGGCGTCTGGTCGATCCACCATTCTTTTTTTCTCTTGCGGTAAAACAAGTGCGCCGCTTTCTCTACCCCCCCCCCCGTTCCGCCTCCCGTCGAAACCCCCTCACCGACGTATGCCGTGGCCGTTGTCTTGTATCTGCAGCAGTTTCAGCCCGCCCTGCTTGGCGGTGACCGTGATGGACGTCGACCCTGCGAGGGCAAAAAATAGATCAACACGGCACGTTTTCGTCGCGCCAAACGAACTCGAACAGGACTCGTGCTCGGTGTGGCGGGAAGAGGGAAGAGTGACTCGCCTAGACCCCATCGCCACCAGCAGCATCTGTCGTAACAGAACCTATCATTGTGCCCGAGGCTCGTTCATTATTAGTCTATGGGGCACTGCTGTACCCCCACGGCGACTACATAGGTTTTAGGGTAGGCTTCTTGACTGAGATCTTGTTGTTAAGGCCAAGTTCTTAGGTTTTGGATGTTTTCAGGCTCAAGGTCTCAGTAGGTGAGTTCTTGAGTGGTGGCACATTCTGCACCTTTTCATCGCCGTCGCCGCTACCGCTGCCTGTTTACCCGTCGTTGATATTAGGGCCTGTGCGACACGAGACATGACACTACGAGGCGTCCTGGCTACGTAGCAAGGGGCGCCCTGCCTACGTAGCTCTCCTGCCTCTCTACGGTGGTCATCCTGAGCATACCAGCAGTCTGGAGAACATGCTAACATGGACTACTCCGGAGAGCAGTAAACCTCGTTGCGGGCAGTGTGGCGTGCTGTACGCAAGCGAATGACATGACAATCACCTGCGTCCAAGCTGTTCTCCATCAGCTCCTTCACAGCGTTCGCCGGACGCTGCACCACCTGACCAAGCCGCGAAGAGATGGGCGGAACCGATGCGTCCGACAGACAAAACGGAGCGTGAAAGGAGAGAAGAGATGCACTTGTCAACACAGCTGGTGGGCAGGACGTAATTTCGCTCCTGAGAACCGAGTGCTCTCTGCAAACCTACGTCTCTGCAGGTGTTTTCAATCCGGCCGGCGGTGTTGCTCCTCAACCTTCGAAAGTCAGCGCAAGGAATCAACACACACACCAGGATGGTCAGTCCTCCGGCCGGTTACGTGTAGATACCCTAGGTGACATGACGTAAGATACCATACGCCCTTGATCGATTTTCAAAGCTCGATTACTCCACGAGGAATGCATATTATATGTAGATGGAACAATACGTTTTCGGAAATCTTTCAACGAGACGGATTGAACTCCGTCGTTTTTGGAACGGCTACTCCATCTGCTGTAGAGAAATCGAGCTTTGTGATATCTTATGTCACCCACGGTATGTTCAGAGGCTTCGCTGCGGGGACTTCTATCGACGCCGCAAAACCCGCTTGACGACGTGTCTGTCTCGGATAAGCAGTCGTCCTTTCGGAATGTAGCGCACGATTCCTCGAAGGCTTGCAGACGATTTTTCGTCCGCAAAGAGTTGTTGATGTTCGGGCACAACTAACAGGGTTAACTACTGACCTGTCCCGTACCGCAGGCACAAGCATATCCGCGGGTGGATACCGGTACAGAGTTTTTGGCGGCATGCACGTGACATACACTTCGGTCTCCAACAAAAATGTTTGTCACGGTGGCACTATGTGCTAGATGTGGCGGGCGACCGGGCGCGGCTGTGTACTATGTACACTAATGCGTATGCAGCAGCCATCGAGGCACGCTCAGCTAAACTCTTGTCGGTGGAGCAGTTCCTTCCGACGTGCAATCACCGATCACGTCGTCGGAAAAGAGCGGACGTGGACACGCGGTTTGAATTTTTTGAATTTTGAACCACACATGTAGGCGGGGCGTCCACAATCCATGCATTGATAATCGGTTGAGCGAGGTAGTGCTTTCAGCCTACCGGAGCCATGATGCAACTCAGAGACAGAGACGAGTATCCTACGCAGACAGAGAGAGGGAGGACAACGGTGACAAAGCTTCCTCTGCTACTGAGGTCTGTACGCCGTGGGCGCCAAGTGAGAGAAAAGCGGGGGAGTGCACACTTTCAGTCTAACTTACCTCTCCCGCGGCGATCCTGTTGACGACATCCTCATCGAGCTTGAGGATTTTCCGTGGTTCGCCGTTTGCGCCAGACATAGCCTCCGCCTCCTCGCGATCCTGCTTAGTGAGCCGGCCGGCCAGCAGCCAGCCTGATCAACGGAGCGGGCGAGCACGCAGATCGTAAACCCATCACCCCCGCCAGGTGCTGAAGACGGGCATCAACTCATTCACGGTGCCCCCCTCGGCGCCTCCACGACACAGCGACTGCGACACAGCCCAATCGGAGACAGCCAGTGTGTGTGAGTCCTCCGCACCTCTGGACAACTCCAGTATCAAGAACTAGCACCAGGTGAAAACAGCGGTGGGCTTGGAGCAACGGTTGAATGTGAAGAGTACCTTCGCTTGAAGTTAACATGTTTCCTTTGTCTCAACCAATTCGCAGATTTGTCCGCCATATGCAAGTGTACTGCTGTAGAGAGCGTGTGTAATCGTGCCGTAGAGCCAGGCTACGACTGCGTATTGCGGGGTGTGCCTGGCTAAGAATGATAGGTAAAGTGCAGGTCGGAAATGCTTAGTCATACGGGTCTGTGAATTGCGGTGATGCGGGGGTCTGGTGGCGAAACAGGCATGTTACGCGTAAATAGATATGGTAATTTATCTGTTTTGACAGCGTTTTTTTTTGTTTTTTGTTTTGTCTTCACTCCAAATCAGCGCTCACAGCACTATAATAGTGCCGTTTACTCCAACCCGTGGTCACACAGAAGAGCCCCTCTCTACCCTCCCCTCCTGCGGTACTTTGCCTTCGAGTTTTAGTGCGAGAAGAGTTCAGCACTCTCTTCCCTCTGTGTACACACGAACTAGCGCTATCCACTAGGCCAGAAGCGGAAGCGAGAGAAAAACTCACTTTGCAAGAAAAGCTCGCTGACGCCGGGATTCGAACCCCTGACCTGACCTCTAGAAGGTTTCGAGGATACCAACTAGACCATCGGGGCGACCGGACAGCGAATATGAACGCTCCGCACCATGATCTGCAACATGTAGCAGTATCCTCCACACCCGTGCAGTGGCGCGGTTGGGGCGTGTGTCGACCAAGACAACAAGCGTTGCGCACCCAAATTGCGCCATCTTGTTTGTTTGTTTGTTTTTCCCCGACCGTCTGTGTGGCGCTCGGAGGGCACCCGCACCAGCTTGCAGCCTTATTGCACCGACTGCTGTGTACTTCGCACAACTTTGTTGTGCAGCGGAAGAACTACTCCTACATTGCAGGGAAAGTTGTACATGAACGAGCAATTTTTCATGCGATCGTTCTCTCCGTGCGTCTGCTTTATGCACACAGACCGCCATCATGGCTCACGTGCTGCCGCCTTCCCCCCAGCCGGGAAGCACGTGCGACTTCTGCAACACCTCCCCGGCCACCATCGTCGTGAAAGGCCGCTTGGCGTGCGAGCTTCACAAAACGTCGGAAATCATCGAATTGGGATTGTCCTCCCTCTCTTCGGTTCCCGGCCCTGCGAGCAGCGGTGGCAGCAGCAGCAGCAGCGGCAGCAGCAGCAGCAATCGCAAGAACAGCGGCAACGACAATGACGACGAAGTGATCGACGTGTGGCAACCAGTAGTGGCGGGAGCAGGAGCGGCGTTGCCAATAACGCTGCCACCAAGCGCCTCGGCACTTTTACCTCCAAGCAGCAGCGCCGCCATCAACAGCAACAACAACAGCAGCAGCAACAGCAGCAGCGGCAGCAGAGCCAGCTTCGCGGGGGCAGCAACAGCGGCAGCCCCTCCCCCCCAAAGCAGTACGCGCTCGGCGAATACGTCCTCGCGGGGTTCGCCCGCCTCCCCTTTGACTGTCCTTCCCGACGGTAACGACCATGTGCAATTCGCTGGCACAAGTCTCAGCTCCGGCGTGTGGGATATTTCAGGCACACCAGCGCCGGCGAGGAGAGCGACCTTCGGTGGCAGCAGCAGCGGTGGCGGCGGCAGCGGGAGTAACGGTTCAATCCATAGTCGCCGCCGCCGGCGATCACTGCCGCTACCCTCCCTCCTGCCGGCCGGCGCAGAGATGGTCGACCTCGCTTCTGAGGCGGCCAGTCTCGGAACGCTGGATGGATCAGGGAGAAATGTGGGAGGACCACAGCAGCAGCAGGTTCAAGGTCCCTACCAGTCAGGAGCCGGCACTGCAAGGAAGAGGAAGAGACGGCAACAAGACGAGGTGGTGCTTCTCGACGACGCCGCGGCGGCGGCGGCAGCATCAACGGCGGCGGGGGCGAGTGCCGGGGCGGGGGCAAGCGCGGCAGCGGGCGGTTCCGACCAGGCCATTGAAGTCCTGCCTAGGCAGGGGAAAGCGCCGGCGCGGAAGATACGGCGGAAGGCGGGGTGGTCCGCAGTTACCTGCATCGTTTGTTTCGAAGACACCGCGGTGGATCGATGCGCGCGGTGCCCCGAGGGGCACGCCATGTGCAAGACTTGCGTCAAGTCCTACGTGACGGAGACCCTCATGCCGCAAGGGACGGTGAGAAACTGGTTCGGTCTGCCCACCGCCGCTTATCAACTACGGCCGTGTAGTTTCGGCCTGTGAAGTACATGTCACCAGCTTGATGCGTACACCGCTTGGGCACGTATCATGGTTGATCCAACCGACGAGCGACGGTGGGTTGTTGGAGGATTGCACACAGGAATAAACTCGACCGATAAGTACCTCAATGTCTTGCAGAGAGTATGCCCCCCATGTTACGAGAGGGAGCAGGAGGACGGCCTTTTTGCGCTCTACGAGGTGCAGTGTTCTTGTTCAACACCAACACGCCAGATTTGTATTTGGGGACGTTTCCCTTCCTGCATGTCTAATCGTTGTACCTCTCCACCCGCTCTTTCTCTCTCTCTCTCTCTCTCTCTCTCTCGTACCGCTGTATCTTTCCTTGCCCCGCTCTCTCTGCGCGGTTTCGCGAATGCGCCTACAGGTGTTTTGGGATCGCATCAAATGCGGGGGCTCATCGACTTGTGGGCATCTATTCGGACCGTCCGTGACGTCATTGCTTCCGCGCCCCATCATTGAAAAAATCGAGACCAAGCAGGTAGGGAACAGTGGTTGACTTGGGTGTTCCGACGACGGTTGCACGGCGGCAGTAGTATTGCAAAAGGGGGTTATTTAGTATCAGCCATCCTACGTGTAGTATGACGGAGGCACAGAATAGTCCGGACCGAAACGAAAAAAACGGGCCTGATTTCTACTCTTGCAGTATGATCTTCAGTAGATCATATGATAGCGCGAATTGACGGCACGGCTTTCAAAATGCGAATGCCAAAATCAAAATGAAAATCAACGTAGCTGTTACAAAGTTACACCCCATTACGCTGTTTCATTTGCTCCAATTTGGTCCTGACTATTATGGGCCTCCGTTTATACGAAGTAGGGTTTTGGAGTTTGTGCTGCTGGTTTTCTCGCGGTTCGGCACGCAGAGAACGGACGCTTCGCGTTGTCTTCCAATGCCTCTAGTCGTGATAGCACTCGATCCACGCCGTCAAACCAATTTACAGTTCGGAGCGAGTAGTCGCCGCCCAGGCTGAGGCACTTGTTCATGACGCGTGCCTGCAGATGAGGAGTTGGTGTCCCCGTTGGTATTCGGCTGCATAAATGACACACCACGGTACCGCTTTTGATGAACACGTTTTCGAATCGTCTCAGAGAGAGAGAGAGAGGGCTTGAAGGCTTCGCAACCATCACTGATTCATGAGCCTGGGTTAATGTCGATGCAGCAACCATCCTTCAGGCCGTGTACTTCCCCATGCTGTTCTGGTGCTCTTGATGATCTTTGACGAATCACGAACCGACCGAAGAGAGGCGCATCTCTTGACGGGAACTTTGTTACGGGTTGCCACGCTTCTGAAACGCCCTGCCCTGGGTTGATTTTCGTCGCCCACGCAAGTGTTTTTCCCTTGTTATGCTGTCGGTGCTGTGTCGGCTTTGCGGTGTCGTTCTATCGCAGTGTGCTACCCTCGTGCTCGTTTTCTTACTCTGTCGCTAAACATTGACGCACCACAATCGTTCTAGGAGGTTGTTGCGCAACTTGTGGCCGACCGGAGAGCGAGGTGTTGTTGCTCTTCGCACATGTGTACAGGCGTCGACTTTCCGTTGGCAAACACCGTCATGAATGCTTCCCTTTGGCGTCTTTTGGCGGTGTCCAATCGCCCGCTATCTTGCTGGTTTCTCTCTTCCCAGGAGTGTGGCCCTTTCCCAGGCTTGATGGGTTTTGGTCAATCTTGACCAACCCTCGCTTGTCTTCGTTGCCGCGCCCGATTGCAAATCAAATCAGATGGACGTCGCGCATCTCGTGGCCGGAGAACGCGACCCCACGTCGGACAAGTGGATCTCCAAGCATTCCAGAGATTGTCCCAACTGCGGAGTCCCCATCCAGAGGAGCTCCGGCTGCATGCACATGACGTGCATCATTTGCAGGCACAACTTCTGGTACGGCTGCGACTGCAAGTACCCGCGCCACCAGCAAGGTTGCAGGAAACGACTGTACTGAAGAGCTAACTCGCGCCAGGGAAAATGAGACGTGTTCCAGCGCCTGCGTGGGTGGATGAAAGCGAGGCCGCAAGAACCGGTGGTGGTGCTCGAACGGAAGGCCTGAAGTACACAAGAAACAATTGTGTGCCCAAATATCGTGGAAGGTGTTGAGTCACAGCGGGCGAGGAAATGCCCAGACTGCCTGGACGAAACCCAACTCTGTTTCTGGGTTCGAATCTGCTGTGGGGGCGCCGAAGCTTGTCTTTGGACTGGTGCTGTTTTTGTGTAACCAGGAGGACATACGTGCCACACAGGGCGATGCGTGGACGGTATTTATCTATGTAGAAAAATGTAGTCTTGTGTCTATTCCAGGACATACGTGCCACACAGGGCGATGCGTGGACGGTATTTATCTATGTAGTAAAATGTAGTCTTGTGTCTATTCCGGGGCTGCAACGATGGCAGACGCTTAGGCTACCAGCCGCGGGCGGCGATCAATCCGTGTACAGAGGTCCCCGTGGGGGTCAAAGAATGCTACATAAGGCAGTCGTGTATTTATGTTTTCATGTTCCGGTGTTTCCAATGATATGCACATCACGTGGTAACGGTGTTCAGCTATTTTGTTGCGTAGGTGTATGCCTTTCGTGTCTGCTTGCCTCAAAAAATTACGGGGTGGCGATAAGACTTCATATTGAACGATTGAAGCTTCGTATTTTTGCCCAGAGTAAAGGACGTGTTGCGGTTGGGGCTAGGCCCGGGCCTATTGAGTTGTCATCACGGGAGTATTTGTTCGTCGGCTAGTTGGCTTGATTTGTGATGGCCTCTGGTTGGTCTTTTTTCTCGGCGCCGACACAATAGAAAGAGCGGTTCCTGTGCATGGTGTCACGTTAAAAGTGTTGTACGTGATGTCGCCGCGTTTGTTACCTGCGTGGATAATATCGAGATGAGTTCTCTAAGTCTGAACCCAGTAATGTAAACTATCAACCTTGCGTGTAGAAGGTGGGTGACGTTGATGATACCTGTTGACGCTCATTCAGCGTTGACACCAATATCGTGATTGACCAACAAAAGTTTTTTTTTGTCAGGAATGAGGGCGATACCAGAGGTTGATGGTCTACTATGTGCTTACAATGTTTCCTACAGTAGCAAGAAATGCGCGCGATGCTGCTTTTCCCGCATCACGAGTCGCCTCGAATTTACTTGCAAAGTTTGATGTCATCTCCTTCACGATCACCAACTTCTTGATTGAGGGCCGCACCTGTACAAACGAACGACGAATTTAGACTAACTATACCTCCGACAATAACGCGACGTGCTGTACGGATGCTTACTCCGCAGGATCCCACCGTAGCGTTCTTGAAGTGGCTGCCACGTCTGTGACCTTCTGTCTCCGTTCGACAAAGATCATTTGGTGTGCCCAGCGATTGGGTGGGTGCTTCAACTAGAGGTTTCCCCCTGCCTAGCGTCGGCAATGCATGGTTTTGGGGAAAGGTGTGGGCTTGATCGGCTTGAAGGTTAATATCTCTCCGCAAAGAGAAGCCTCTGCTACCGCCAACATTCTGATCAGGTGTGTCCAACGGTGATCTCGTCCCTGAAGTTGACCGGGCACGTGCCATCCAGCTGGCACGCCAGCGAATAGCGCGCGCGATCGTTTTCTGAAGACTCGTACTGGTGGAACCGCCTGAGCACATCCGGTGGTGTCTCGTAGTCGCCGAACACCTAGGAAAAAACGTATTGATAAGAGTGACACGGAGGCGGGTGGGGGGTTCTTGTCATCTCTTGCTTCTTGTCCTGCACAATTTCCTCGCATCTCCACAACGCCAAGCGTTTCGACGTTGATGTCTGATTGGTCGGTCAGGTCAAGTGACATCTCGCGCGGCGAAGGGGGGCTAAAATGTAACGGACATCTTGTACCCGGTAGTCTCCATGGTCTGGTAGCGTCTTACACCCGGACTGACCAAACTCCTTCATTATCATAAAAGAAAATAGAGTCGATATGTATGAACTTGGATTATTCGTGTTAACCCGGTCTTCCTGTATACCTGCGGGTGGAACGTTGACCTGATGTCGGCGCCGGCGGACCAGTCGAAGAAGTCGTACCCACTCCCGGAAATGAGGGCCATCAGGTCGTCCTGGCTTTCCAATTCGCCCTCAAAGGAGGTCAAGACCTGTACCACAACATTGCAAAGAAAGAGGGTAGGAGGGGTTATACTCACGTTCGTTGCATCTAGCTTAAACTCACGACAGGGCTCACAAAACCCCTGGACTTGATGGCACCTAGCAAAACACGACATCTGACACCCATGTCGTAGCTTCCCCTATACCTGGCTCCCGCCTTCATGGGTAGGCATGATTAGTTCCTCCAACCTATCGCAGCAAAGATATAGGACCACATCGCCAGGAGTGGAAAGAAAGATGGATGAATGGGTGAGGAAGCCCTTACCGCACTGGTGTCCAAGAGGTCGCGGGTCAGCATAGAGACGGCCACGTACTTGGCCAGTCGTGTTTCTACCACTAATCTCGTTCCCACCAGCTTGTCGGGTACAGTATCGTGGATTGGGTTATCGGCGATGTTTGAGCAATCGCTGCGGTTGGCCGCCGTTCTGGTATTGAGTAATACGTTCCCAAGGGTAGGATAGGATTAGGAAGACGGTTAGTAGTCGGAGTTCATATAGGCAACCTTGCGTTTCGGGCGAAAGTGTTATCGCATGTAATACACACATGCGTCCAAACAGAATAAATCCTGCACTACAGACCCGCCTCTGTCATGGCGTACTTCAAGAGCTACCACCAAACAAACTCGACCCAAACCACAGAAGCCCCTCAAAACCAACATCGCACAGACGTTGTGCCCACCAACACACCAACTACAAGTACATCAACAAGACGCACAAAAATTATTACCGATCGTCCAGCCCGGGGTCATCCTCGTCCATGTCCTCTCCCATCTCCCGGATCCCGCAGAGACCATCCCGATAATTGGCCGCCCAAGACTGCGCCTTGACTGAGGGGACCGAATCCGGCGACCAGTAGGAGTTGTTGCGGTCGTCCGGGTCCTGGAAGCGGGAGCTTACCACGGGGTAACCTTGCCCGAGAATGACCTGAAAACGGACATCAATTGAAATTCCCTCGGCCGTGTCATTCTAAACCGTACAAAACAATATCGCCGTTGATTTCGGTTCCTTCAGCCCATGGCCGCGAATCGAGAAAATCAACCCCCCAGCTCACCACAACCCCCCATACGAGGAGTCCATGAATTGTTCCGAAGACATCGAACGAGTCAGTATGTAGAATTACACCAAAGCAGCACGTAGTCCTTCGGGTCTATCGCTGCCCCCGAGATCTTTCTTTTCGGGCACAAGTCATGCTTGTTCCTTCCTTGCATTGTTGTGCGTTTGGGTGCTTGTTTTTTCGGTCTCGTGCTTCACAAGGGAACCATGTGGTTCAGTAGAACTGTAAAGTGGGGTCCTGCCAAACTATTGTTGTTCACCTGTTCCCTCTCTCACCTTATACTCCTCGGGTTGATTGCAGTAACCCCGGTCTTCGTTGAAGCTTCCGTATGGAACGTCCCGACTTTCTCCCGTGATGCGGTTCACGCACGTCACCTTCCATGGCAAATCCTCCATGCGCCACCTGTGGGTTCGCGGCGAGTTGGGAATTTGGAGAGAAGAAATTTTGGGTGGGTGGGGGGGATGGTTCACCGAAAGCAGTTGGTAATCATCGTAATTGCTGAGGAAATCAATCCTTAATATCCAATCGGCGACTAACCGGGGGTTGAGGTACACTCAATTACCGCAGTTCGTCATACTTCCTCTACCCCCGTGCGATGAAGACGGCAAGAATATGGGATCCTAATTGACACAATTTCTGAAGAACCGTGATGCGAGATCGCCAAAAACAATGCACGCCTTGAACGGGGGCAGCTGGCCGTACCTCTGAATGTAAATATCATGGTAGTCGTCGTAGTCCGGCGAGTAGAATGCCCGATGGTAGCTCAGCCCAAAATCGACCGACCCGTCCGGGTGCTCCACGGAGCTCCATACAGGCTGCATGACGGCGCCGGGCAACACGTACTCGATCTCTGCGTAGTAGGTGCGCGCCAGGTAGCCCCGGCCGTCCGCGCCTGCTTTTGGAGGAGGAGTTTATCTTAGCCTGGTCTGGTTGTTGTTGTTGTTGTCTTCACATACAAAACAAAATGTCTGGTGCAGCGGGATAAAACATTCGGCAAACATAGCATGGTGGGAGTATCGCAAACTACATATCCGGGTAGTAAACACTAGCGAACAGAGCCTACACCATTCCAATCGGCAAAATGCATGCAATGGGTGTTCCGAGCCGGACAACACCCACCGATGAAAACGGTCTGGTCGTGCGTCTCATTTCCGTCCGGGTACAGCGTCCGGCGCAGGTTGAACGGCCCGTCAGGGTAGCCACTGGTGGCCACGGCGGACAGGCCGAAGGTTCCATTCGACTCCCCTGCACCCATCCACATCACGAACGTATCCTCGCTCTCGGACAGGCCCGTCGAGTTGCTGTTGCTGCTACTATTTCCGGTCGTGCTGTTGCTGGCCACTGTGGTTTCTAGGCGCAGGGTCTACGCGGAAAGGTGAGGCGGAGGGGGTGGCGGCCAACTGAGGGGGTGATCGATAGTCTTGCAGGCACAAGCTTTAGTGCTGAAGACAGTCTTGTAGCAATCTTACGGTGAGCGTATTTGCGTCGGGGTGAAAAACTTGAACTGCCTCGCTTCGGCAACATTTGCTCTTTCTTGGTGATCAGCTGGAAAATTGCTTCGAGGGGTGTAATCACATCTGGAAAAATAGCCGGTAATTGTTGCACGAAAGGTGTATTGTTCTCACTTTGGGCTGCTGGACGACCATCCCCCCTTTGGGCTCCCGACCCAGCACCATGTCCGACACGTTGGCGTAGTGCAGCATCACGCCCTCAAACCTACGTAAACATATGGCACCCACAAAGAGTCGGGGGGGAAACGTGTCGGGTTTATCGTGTCAAGATCGTGTCAAGATCGTGTCAATAGTTGTTAAAGACATATTTTGTAGCGAACGTCAAAGAATAACCTTGCATGATATTCTAGGAAGAAGCGTTTCACTCCAACCGTTGGGAGTTCTCACAGCGTGAGGGTAACACCACTTTCACGTGAAACTGTGGCCCTCGTGCACCACTGATGGTACACTCAATAGTTCGTTAGGAGAGCTTCCTCGGATCACGCTTCCAAATCGGTCGAACCCATCGTTTGCGGCCACTGAAGCCTTATCCAGAGTTATCGCCGCTCATCTCCGGGTACCCTTCTTGGGACATCGTCGCAATTCAATAGTATTTTTCGGGCAGGACACTTTATCGGCAAAGGGGCCCTTACGACATCGTCGGAATCAGAGTACCAGCCCCGGACACCAAATTCAACGCCACATTTGCAGTGTCAATGAGCAAACAACCGACAAACCCTTCGTTGGCATGCTCCAACCGAAAACAACACCAACACCAACACCCACACCAACAGGTTTAGCATGGCACCTCCAGTCGACGAAGTCGTCGGTAGAGCACGCGCCCACTCCTCCCGTCCAGCCGTCAAACTCCTCGCTGCTCCTCCAGTAGCCCTCAACGTTAGCGCCGGAGGATGTCTTCTCTATCTCGTGCTCGCCGTACCAGTAGTGTGTACCACCGGGTTGGTGTGGGCCACTCCCACGGCCGGCGGATGATGCATCTTTTTTTCCATTTTTGGTTTTGCCATCGATTGTTGGGGGAGGGGACGTGAGCGACGGTCTACAATCGCGGGCATGGATCATGCAGGGACAGATCATACCATGCTAATGCTTTGTGTTGAGATAACGACAGCTTCTACCTCTACGAGCGACGCAGCCTTCGAAGAACCTGTTCGTGGTTGAAGTTCTGCGTACGGGTAGGCTGTGATCTACAGTGTGGTGGCGTACACCATTGACTAAGATCTTAGAAGACATGACACGCCATACTCGTACTGTGTACTTCGAAGAAGAGAAGGCAAGGAAAATGTGTAGTGCAACACTCTAACGACATTTGTTTCGATGACAGAGAATACAAGCCGTTAGAGGTTGAAGCAGGGACACAACCGTTGGAAGCGAAATACGTGTCGTGAAAACGCTTGGCGCTTCGTGGAACCGGACGTACACATATATAGGGCGAAGATGCTTGGCGGTAGGTTTGGCAAGCTATTATTACACTGGTCTTTAGGAGAAAAAATGATGTATTGGTATGTATCTGTGTTGCGAACGCACGTCGCTTCTATAGAACTCCAAGAAACGTTGGAAAAATTACCTGATTGGCGTGATTAGCCCATTTCTACTCTTTTTTACATATCGATCGTGTGTGCGAAATGGTGAGATTGATTAACACAAAGTTGATGTGAAGGGATTTACTTTGTTTTGCTGGGTGTCAAGATGAACTCCCTTACCAGAAGTCCAGAGACCGTCGCCGCCCAAGCTCCTCGCAGATCCCTCGCGCAAGGGTCTCTTCCCGACAAAGTCCTGTGTTAGTTGCACACACAGACGGACCGATATGGGGTGGATCAGGCCGCATTAAACTGGATATTCATGCTGTTCCCCATTTCAGACACCATCCCGGTTCATGATCTCCGGCAGACATGTTGCAAGGTACAACAGGTTTGATGGCGTGACCTGGGTCATGTTGGGTCGAGTTCGTGCTACACGAAAATGGATGGGGTCATCTGCAGACCCTCTCCCCGACGGAGCCGTGTATCAGTGCCGGACACAAAAATAATTTATATAACAATCTCATGCGAGATCGCCCGACGTAGATCTATTGCTCAAAGAGGCATGTGCATCACTTCGACCAATCTCGCCACCGAAGGATTGCCAGGCTAGTTTACTTACCTCGCCACGCGGCATCTCCAGGAGCGATCCTGCCCGTAAGCCATCCACGAGCGGGGGGTCAGTGCTGTCCCGGACGTAGTCGTCAACAAGGTACTCTCGCATCCCATCTCCGTCGAACGGCACCAGTCCCCCGTGGTTGATAAGGTACTGCGTAATGTTATTTCGTGGGGGGTGACCAGCGCGCGTGGGGGGGGGGGGGGGGTGTACTCATAGTCGTGCATGCCGTAGTCGTTTGACCATTGACCTCGCATCCCTACAAAGCCGGGACGGAGCACGCCGGGTTCTCACCGGACCAGGCTCTCACATCACCAAGCGCGAAGCGCCGTGAGGTATTTGGCGAGTCGCATGAAGGGTGAGCTGCATCCTGCTAAGGGTGTTCGGTATCTTGTGCTTACTTCCTTGCGTACGGATGACAGCTGCGTATGACTTAATTCATTTTCTGGTGCTTTCACTTCCAGAGACAGTTGTAAGCACTGTGTAACTGCCTCGAGGAAGCTTGACCATTTTAACACAACGTGGTGCGATCATCCCCCGTTGCGCGGAGTGTGGTTCTCGACCCCGCACCACATGATCTACTCGACCACCATTATGGTTACCGCAAAAAAAAAAACAGAGGTAAAAAAAAAACCGGTAACCTGGTTGCCGAGTTCACGAAGTGACTTGGCTTATTTTACAACGTCGTTGCCAAGCGACGAAAACCCAATCCCGACGGCAAAACACCGGGGGGGGGGCAGCCCGTGGGAGGGGGGGGTTGCGGGGGGGGGTTTTCCCCCAAGGGGGGCGTGGGGGTCGTTGATCCCGTGGTTTCCAATCAGTTGGAGCAAGTCAGGGATTGGTGGCCCGCTGGGGTGGTACCAATGCTCAATCATGAGGGACTCCAATACCCCAACAGTCCAACGACTCTAGTTCGTTCCCAATGTTTGATTGGAAACTACTTCCCGTCCGGGGGGGGGAAGAAAAAAAAGTAAGGGACTGAGGGGCACCACGGGTCTCCCGGAATGACACCCATTCACCCAAAAAAAAAAGTGTCTGGTTTGGGGAGGAGGAAAAAGGGGGGTTGAAACGCGGGGGGGCGGGGCGGTTGTTTTTGGGCGAAAAAAAGATGGGGAAGTCAAGCGAGCGGCGTCTTGCTGCTGCCAACGAAAGAGGGTCCCACGCCGCGTCTTCACTGCAACGTACTTCTCATTTGCAGAGAGTCTGTTCCCCCTCCCCTTGAGTTCAAGCAGGCACGGAGTAACGCCGAATACCACTTGAGCAAATTGCACAGAAGTGAGAAACAAAATCGTGCTGAAAGTAGCAGTCACCTTTTCTGTGTTGGACAGAAAGTTCTCGTGCCGTTGCATGACCTTGTTCTCGCTCTGCCCCGGGTCTACGAGGTTTTCCCACCTCTTGAGGCTCCCGGCGTTCCTGGTTTCCACCCCTCTCCGCGAGGATTCGGGACACCTGAACCCTGTTGTTTCGACGACCGAAAGAGAATATTCAAACTGTGTCTTTCCACTTGTACATTGAGACCACTGCGCGTGTAGCTCAATTTCCGCGTCGCACCCACGATCACAACGCGGTAGCAACATGCCATCCGTGGGCAGTATTTCTTGCGTAACGGTTTGTTCCAGGCTCGTTCTTCCACCGGCAGCCTCTGCAGGCTCAAATGGGGGAACCGAGAATCCCTGGTTTTTCGACGGTAAAACCTCGTGCTAGAGAATAAAAGCACCTATGTCGTCCTCAATCTCACCCATGGTAAAGTCGGGGCCCAGGTAAATCTCGTCGAACCAAACCCTCCCTTCGCCGAGCACGTACAGACCGACCCTCTCCACTCCGCGAATGGTTGACAGCGCTGTTCCGAAAGGCTGGTCTTCGGCTCTGGCCACCCCGTCCACTAGCACGTCGTACTCTCCGGCGGTGCCGTTGGCGTCCCATCGCATCACAATATCTACCTATGTTCGTGAAGGCACAAAGAAAGCCACGCTGGTTCGTTCATGTTATCTGGTCGTCGATACGTAGTGTATTGAGTGCTTTAATCTGATGGACATTAAAACAACCTGGCCACTCTTTTCGACACACTTTGGGAGAGCCCGTTCGTGTCGAAAACTATTGCCGCGAACAAACATGGTTTGCCCTTCCCTCTCGGGAATATATTGTACAGAACGTCCACGTCGAAATGGACGTGTCACCAATATATATATCCCGTGCCTCTGCCATCATGCCCCTCCTTCACTATGAAACCCCCCTAAGTGTCACTCTACTCAGTTACCAACAGCAACCGATCCTCTCCCCGCGCCCGAAGCTACTGCAGTTAGCAGACACTACGTCCCCACCGCGCCCGACATGACATCTGTACACATTTAGGAGTACCTTACCTTATACCAGCGGTCGCCCTCCACTCTGTCGTCGAGCACTCCCCCCCCACCCCCCGTGGAAGACTCTTCTTCTCCAGGATCCCAGGGGGCAGAGCGATATCCAGCCCCGTGCCTCATCACGCCCCCGGAAATGGAGACGCCCACAAGGGTAGTGTTTGGCGCGGGAAATGATCCGGCCTGAGTTTGTTTTGTTTTTTGGGGGGGGGGTGGGGGCGGGACCGCGGTTGGTTGAGGGATGAACACGTGCAATACCTCCGCACGCCTGTTGTCTCTCCAGACAACATAGTTTTGTTTCCGTGGCATCTTCTGTCTGCATCAAAACTGTATTTTTATGGCAACAAGACACCCGCATTTACCTCCGCAAATCTGGAAGGCGCATTGGTTTGAGTACTTTTGCAAGCGGGAAGGCGAGTGCGAGATAGATTCGGGTTTGGAGTGGGGCGCGCAGCTTGGGGAGAAGCACTTCAGATGTATTACATACATTCTGCACGTATGGTAAGTACTTGGGTGAGAGGTAAAAGTTGTTTCCAAGCGTGTGGTACATCTCTAGTCGGGAGCTTGTAACCCCAAAACACACCATCTTCAAAGATGACTTCGACGACCCGGCGAGTTAAGGATTTGAAAACAAGAAGACCAGCCAGCGGACAAGGTCGAAAACAGGTAGATCCAGAATTCCCTTGATCAAAGGTAAATATGCGTAATTTTGAATATGCACCACGTACCGTGGGCGAGGCACTTGAAGACGAAGATGCCGAAGAGAGCCCAGAGGAGTTGTAGAGAACAGGTGCTTCCGCCCAGTCGGAAGCATTGTAGGAAGAGGAAGAAGAAGCCGAAGTCGAGGAGGAATCGTTTGTCCCCGGTCCGAGAAGGGCGAATACCGCGCCCCATTCGGCGGCGGAGGCGTGGTTGGAGTCGGAATTGTTGCTGTGAAGATCCCCCGAAGAACTCTCAGGAGAGTTTTCTTGAGCTGCAGCAACCTGTGGAGGAATGGTAGCAAACGTCAGGGTATTTTGGTACAAAATACGTACAGTACAGCCCAAGTTCACTGTGGCCATTAGTGGACTATTTCATACGAGTGGAACAACTCGGATGAAGGACAGAAAGAAAAGTTTCAATAAAAGAAAGCCGAAACCGTTGAAGCCGAGCACGTTCGTTTTGGGGCAGGTGGCGGTAAACTGACCCGACTGAGTGGGTGAAAGCTCACTAACTGCTTACACGTTCAGGTGCGGTCGAGATATTCCCACGGACCTTCATGTAGAAAGTGACTCGTTCAGGCGTGAGCGCCGTCGTCTCCTCGCCGCCGTGGCTGCCGTTACCTCGAATAAGGCCATACTCAGGCCCGTCATAGGCCCGAAACGCCTGAAACGGCTGGCCGGAAGAGGAATCCACCGTCCCGTCGTGTCTCGACAGCAACAAAGAAGAGTTTGTGCCCTGCACATACGGCACGACCACTGAACGGGTTGAGCTTGAGGTCGTCAGCTTCTTTGCCTCCGGCCCTACGCCCCCCGATCCGCCTACCACAGAACAGTCTCAAGCTCTGTAAAAACACTGGCGCGGGTGGATCGGATCACTGAACGGGCTAAGCTTAAAGTCACAATGAGCTACACTACCTGTGCCCCCGCTCCACCGAGCCCGGAACCGTCGTCGATGCCAAACGTGTAGCCGAAGGCCGCGTCGACTTTGAAGGAGCCCTCTCCCCCTGCTCGGCCGTCCCCGCAAGCGTCGTCTCGAAGGTCCCCGGATTTAGTCGTCACAAAACAGCTGATCCAGAATCGAAAGAAGCGAGAGATTGGATGGTTTTCCAGACCGGGGGAGGGGGTTGTAGGGAAATCGGATGGAAGGGAGAGACATGCGTTGGTCGGAGGGGAATGGTTCGTTGAACTCGATCACAAAGAACCTTGGGCAGCCAAGAGACCGATGGTTGGGAGTGCTTGGCAGCCAAGGAAAAACCCAAGCCCTTCCCGGTAAGCCGAGTTCTTCGTCGCGACCCTAACCGATCCTAGCCACTACTTTCTCTCTCCACGCGCCACGCACCTGCCACCCCCGACATCTACGGTCCCTCTCTCCTCGCCGTCGGCACCCTCCCCACGAACAACCTCCACGCTCTGCCCGTACAATACCACGCGCCCCCCGGCGCCCCCACCACCGGCATTCTTGGAGAGGGGCCGAAACGTGCGGCCGCCGTTCCCGCCACGGACGCTGATCGCCCCGGCGTGTCGGACGGCCCCTCCGGCGGCAATGACGACCGAACCGCCGCTCCCGCCTCCGCCGCCGCTGTCCCAGTCGGCGGTGCCGTCACCGCCGTCCACGGCGACAGAGCCCATGACCCCGATCGTCAGGTCGTTCAGGGCCAGCAGCTCGATGGCACCGCCGCCGGCTCCGCCCAGGCCTCGCAGCAACCGAGAAGACGAGTTCGAGCCCTCGGAAAACCCGAGGGCGTTAACCGCGGCCGGGGATAGGCCTGAACGAGCCCCACCGCTGCCGCCGACGAGGTCGGGGACCGAGGACGTCGAGTACGGTTCTCGGGGCGCGCCGGACGCCGGAGACTGATCAGCCCCGAGCCCTCCTGTCCCACCTTTTTTGTGCGGTGTCGGTGTGAATGGCCGGGTATTGGGCTGCGGAGCGTTGCATACCGTTGCGAGCATAAAGAAAACGATGTCGTGGGTACACAAAGAAAACGAAGGACCTTCGGTGCCCATGCCAGGGGGGCGATAACTCTACCGGGATAGTAATCCACACCCGACTGATGTTGAAAGAGAGGATAGCTCACCATGGGAAGCCCCAGCCCCTCCTAAAGCGAATGAAAACGGCTGTGAGGCGTTGAAGCTGGCCGCCAGCTGCTTCTGCGCCCCGCCCCACCCCTTCGTCACCCGTACCTCGGCCCCGTCCCCCTCCAGATAACCCCCCTCTACCTCCGGCCAGTCGAACTCCCCCTCTTGCACCCCCTCTCCTGCGTCCTCCCAAGCCCCGACAACTACGGTAGGAGATGACGGTTCAGCGCTCCCCACTCGCGTCCCTAGCTCCACGATCCACTCTAGCCCTCCCCCGGGGGCCGGCCCGACGCGGCACAACCCGTCGCTGCAGCCGGCGGCGACGGCCTCGGCGGGGAGGGTGCGGGTCGTCCGGGCGAAGGAAACGCCTGGGAGTTCCAAGAGGGCCTCCGAGACCGCGGCGGCGGAAGCCGTCACCGGCAGCTGGGCCGTTTCGTGGGTGGGTTCTCCCGTTTCGCCGCCTCGGAACCTTACCGAGAACGTTCCGGAGATGGCGTTGCCGACCTGAACGGTCTCCACGGAGACCGTGGCGCCGAGGCCGGTCAGCCTGTTCCCTTCGGCCTCGCCGTCACCCGTAGCCGAAATCGTCATCAGATCAACCGCGCCGATGGCGGAGGAAAAGGTTACAGTCCAGCAACGGCCGCCCTCGTCGTCGACGTAACCGTCACTTGACACGTTCACTCGCCCGACCCCGGAGACCCACGAAGGTTCCCCGTCGGCTGCCGCGCCGATATCACCCGCAGTGGAGCGGGGGAATGGGAGCGGCCCCGGGCCGCCCACCGGCTCCGCGTTCAGGCCGGCCTCGATGATGTCTTGCACGGTCGAAGGCGTTGCGTCATGGGGGATGCACTCGGTGGAGAAGTTACCGTGGGAGACGTGGAAGCAGCCGCGAACGGTTTGCCCTTCGTCAGCTGAGGTACAAATCTGTCGAAATGTTGGCAGAGGAACGAAGCGGTTGTATCGGAGTTGAGCGAGTACTCGCAGCAGACACCAGAACCCGGAGAATTCTTATGCTCCCTGTTTCAGACCCTGGCCGTCGTCGACTGGGTTGGGAGTGGGAACCGAAATGTCCTTGTCTGGTGCACGAACGAACTTTGTTCAGAGGGTAGTGCCGTGCAATGACTCATGACACCAGTTCCAGAGGACCCTGACCAACTCTGACCTCAGCCTCTCTATCTCCTTCACAATCCAACCAAGACTCACCCTTTGCACGTCGTCCACGTCGTCCGCCGAGGTGGTGATGGTGAACAAGTAGTACCGGTAGCTGGCGGACCCCGGCCCGTTAACGTTGTAGCTCGGAAGTCCGCTTTCACCGACTCTCTCCAACGTCCCATTTACCAAGGAGCTCAAGTCGAACTCCGGGGGGACGGAGGGGGGGGAGAGCAGGAGGTCGCCCCCCCCTCCGGGGTCGCGAGCGATCCCGCCCCCTCCCGGAAAGCCTCCCAAGGTGGAAGGCTCGGCCGTGATTGAGGTATTCAGGACAAGGCTGCCGCGGCTAAGGATCGCCAAGGCCCGCTGGCCGGTGACTTGGACCCTGATCTCGGGTCCTAGGTAGACCTGTTTGTTTGTGTGGGGTGTGTGAAGGGTTCGCAATGTTGTCGTGGTTTCGCCTTGTCTTCTAGGCCGCTGGTCACACTTCCTTCTGAATTGTGACGAGACGCTTGAGAGGCTGCGGGGAAGGACTTACAAAAGGTTGGGACAGAAGACAGGGAAATAGAATATATGCATACGGTTTGTGGTGTACAAAATCCGTTGTTACTCTCTATGTGCCTACACTGACTTCAGGGTAATCGTGCGCTTGGGCGTATACTGTACCACTGTTGTTGATTTTGGTGGACTGTGGGAGTTGACCATGCGCTGAGGGTGCTGGTGTCGTTTTCCAACCTGGCCGTAGGACGGCTTGATTTCCGTTTATTGTCGTCGAGGTGTAGCAACCACGCCGGACACATTTTGATGGTAGAGATCTACAGAAGGTAGATTTCAATGAAGGGACCGTGACAACAACTTGATACAGTAGTAAAAGTAACGACGACATTGACAGCCACAACAACAACAACAATATCCAGCTCGGCAACAACAGGGGAAATATCAACAACAATCAAAGCCGTGCCTGATCGAACGACCACACAGCGACCTCCGTCCCCTCCGCCGTGAGCGCCAGCTCCCCCGCGGCCGAAATGGCGCCCTCAAGGCTCAGGCTCGACGTGTTGAACACGATCGTGCACGGACAGGAGGCATTCTCCCCGCGTAGACTCTGTTTTTTTGTTCAAGTCGTTGTGGTGGGTGCGGCGTTTTCTTTGGTGTACATGGCTTTGGATTAGGCATTCTCGCCCTCGAACGTAACATGAAACGTCACTTGTCATTGATGCGACACGAGAGTGCGTATTACGGAGCGGAGCGAGTTGTCAGAAGTAGCGAAGAAATTGTCATGTTTTCCATATTGAAATGTCCTACTGATGTGTACGAGGGACGTCACCCGTTTCTCTCTACGGAAGCCCACAACCGCAGACGGCATCGAACTACCGCAGTAGAAAGGTGCGCTTGAAATGTTGCCGTCTACAGCGCTTCTACCTCGTACACCACCAAGTAAGAAAACATTTGAGTAGCTACCAATGCAAGGAAGTGTTCTCTCCATGTCACCCTGTAGACCTTTGTCTCGCAGGTTCTTCATTCGCGACCCGTCGCCCTTCTTTGGAAGTGTTGTTGGGTCGGAACCGAGACGTTCATCGGCATCGATCGCCATCCTTATCTGCGATGGTGTAAACGATGGGCCAACCTGGGATAGCAACACCACGCCTTTCATTCCTCTCACCGAAGCAATGGAGCCGTTGACGTCCGCCCACCATTCGTAGGTATGGTTGCCGTACGTCTCTTCTGAAAGGCATGTCTTCCGGAACATGCATACGTGGGGTCCGTAGAGAAAGACAGGAGCGGGGCCCGTTACAAAGGATCGTAAAGTTAGGCATTGTAGAGACATAATCGTTGGTGTCAGACATCGTATGTGCTACATTTACCGAGAGCATTCGTGTTTAGTCTGGTTGTCAACATTGTGCGGTGTCGACTCAACCACGTGCGGCGTGAATCACACGACTCCCCTGGAAAAGGCTTGATTTGTCGCATACCTGCCAGCCGAGACATTGCGTGCTGTTCAGGGTGTGTCTCGTATCCAGGACGCTGGCTAGTTCCTGTCGATCGAAAGTCCCACATTAGGTTGAGAGTACGCAAATATTAGAAATTGGGATGAAGTTGACGACGGATTGGCATGGGAGCCTCCTCGTGCTTTGACTGCGTGTTCGATCGATCAAGCCCACAATGGCTGGGCCACGCACGCTTGCACAAGAAATAATGAAACCTCGATATTTTCTCATTATTTCTACCTCCCTACGCACGCAATGCCCCCCCCGCAACAAAGAGAAGCAACATAATCCCCACCCGACGCGTTTTCCACCCTTCTAGCGTCCTTCGTTAGCGTGGCGATTTCATCCTCCCGTGACGGGACACACCGTGGTATACTCCAGGGCAGGGACAAGTCATACGTGACCTAGTCTTCTGGTGGGCGTACGGAGGTGGGCGAGGCCAGCCTAACCCTCACCAGGCATGAGCCGGGCACCGTACAAGCGACTGCTTGTTATGTAGGAAAAATTATAGATAAGAAGAGTTTTCGTTTTCGGACACATGCGTGCCTTTAATAGGTTCCAGTACATGCACTTTCGACCTAGGATAGCCTGCTAGGTATTCACCCAGAGCAGGAACCAAATTTTACAAGGTTTCTCACCATTTGGACAATATCAGCTTCTTGGTCGGCAGCTGCGGCCGAGTCCTGGCGAGACCGTCGTGACGCGTCCAACTTCGCCGTTTCTCGGGTCTCCGTGATCCAGGCAAGCTGACGCGGGGGGGTACAACCGTTACGTGGTCCAAATAAATACTTGAGTTTTCGTTTTTTCTTGGCAGGGTCAAGGCAGTTGTTAAATGCCTAGTCGAGAGACACAACCAAGGGAACGAGAAACGCAATTCTGCACAACAAATAGGCCTGTAACAAATCACCTTACCTTGTGGGTGAACTGCGCGGCTTCGATGTCTAGCCTTGCCAGCTCGCGGTCCTTCTGCTGAGCGTCCAAGACCAGCCCCGAGAAGTCTCGCAGTCCTCGCGACTGTTCGATGCCAGGATTGTCGAGGAAATATCATGTTAGATTCTACGACAAACACTTGATTTCGAACGTCTTTCGGGATGAAGGATATTTCTTCCCTGGATGTTCATGGCAGCCTATTTACTCTGCGTTTATTCTTCCCAGTGTTCTGTTTTCGAACAAACAAGTTGCACCACGGACACACAGCAGCGCTCACCTCCACTGGCACTCGAGGGCCCAGGCTGGAAAAGTTCCTTGGGTCGAAATGCCCCCCCCTTGGTGCCGTGATCCTGGCTTCGTTTTCACCGTTGCCGCTGCCGTAGCCGTCGTCGAAGTCCCCGTTTCGAGGATCGGGAGCGCCGCGCATCGCCCAGCCGAACGTCCCCATCCTCCAGTCTTCGAAATTGGCGGAAAGACCAGTCGTCACGTGGAGCCCCCCTCGAAACGCCTGTTTGTTTTTTTCGTGGGATGTCCTTTTTCATTGGCTGGTTGCAATGTGGGTAACGCTGTTTATATCATTATTGTGTTGCCCGATAGGGAGAAAAGAAGGGGACAGGGGAGTGAGTCGAACGATTGCAGGACCCGCGTCTTGCGTTCCTCGAGGCCTCCACACAGACCCGCCAGGACATAGAGCATCCCCCGAAGAGCAGTTACTGCTGGTGATGCTGCTAATCGGAGAGAGTCTCTACTTCTTCGTTTTGGTGTGACAGTTGGGGTGTTGAGAAGGATACATTCTAACACAAGTATCGGGCGTAGTTGTTGCTATTCTTCCCCGCTATGTACCCTTTCTGCGTTGGAACGGAGAACGTAGGGTCTCCACGAGGCAGCCACAAGGGGGCAAGGCGGGGTGGGAGGCGTGCCAAGGCCTGAGCCAGCAACTATTTGATCACGCATCCCTTCCTATGCAGAGCTCAAAGCGCCACGGGGAAGGGAAACAGCGAGGGGAAATTTGAGCCGCCGCAAATCAGTGTTGAACACTGACGTCGGGTGGCATTACACCTGACGTGGGGCATTATCCTCTATGTACCTGAGCCGTGTAGTTGACGGACCGCGAGTTGCTGTCGTAGTGGATCCAGGCGCGGTTGCAGCGGTGAACATCCTTGCAGCGCTCGTAGTCGTCGTCGCGGTGATCGTCGTACACCTTGTTTCACGTTGTTCGATTTCAACGTCGGCCGGAAATTTTCTTCGATTTTCATCTTCACGAGGTTGCTCGATTTGTTGTTGTACATGTTGTAAGGATGTTTGCTCCCGTTGTATACGACCAGAACTGCAGGAGAAGGGAGCTAGAGACACGAGGATGAGTACTACGTCCCTGACCTAAGGCACGGTGCATAAACGTTACCGAAGTGCGCGCAGGTGATACTGCTCGTGTGTGTCCTCGCACATATTGGGCGACTGAAGTGGGGGGTAAACGTGTTGTGCCGAGGAATGACTACATGACAAGCACGGATGTAGAATCACAACAGAATCCTCCACGTGCACCAAGGTGCACTTGGACCAGCGTACTTTTCCATAGAAATGCACGAGCCCAGCAAACAAATCACTCCATCCCGAAAATAAGTACAAAGAAGGCACCCCCCTGCCAGCGCTGCCTCGAAATATGTGCCATGTCTCATACTTCTTGTGCCATATCAAGCACAAAACTGTTGTGAAGATCGTTGCTCTTTTTCGTCGACCAGCTCGATTTAGACCAGGATGATTTGCGGACGTGAACCGCACCAACACAACAACAACAACAATAACAACAACAACAAAGACACGTCGATAGCATCAACAATGACAGTAGCAACCCGTACCTGGTGCGGAAGGTAAGGGCTACTCTCGCGCGGCACTCCCCCGTCCCCCGAGAGCCCCCACGTCGGGTCTACGGCTACGGTAACGTTCCCCGCGAACAGCGCCGACGAAACGTTCCGAACCTGAGCCAGCAGCTCCGCAGCGGCCTCGTCTACCGCAATTTCGGTGGCGTAGTTGGAAGGTTCTCCTACAGACATGCGTTGACGGGTTCCGTTGGCGTGAGAGTGGGTGTGGGTCGTTTTGCGGTTAGTCGTGTGTTTTCGTTGCATGACTCTAGTGTCCCTAGGACGGAGATAAGAGCGCGTCGGGTTGTACGTGAGATATATTTGCGGAGCCGCAAGGACAACGAGTTGCTTCGCTATGGCGCTTAAGATGGTACATACACGTCGACACCTTGGGCCCACTTTGCTGGCAGGTACCGGGTCTTGTGGATTAAAGAGATGCGATGCGCGCGTTTATCAGAGTAGGCATGTTAAATATGCTTGAGATCCCTCGCCACCAACTGTTGGTGCACCGAGGTCGAAGAAACCGCGATAGACCGGTGCTGACGCGGTGCAGCTGACGTGGCGGTATCGTGGCAAGAAGAGCGGGTGGAGTTGCAACGCTGTCGACACTCAAAGCCCACCTTCACACGGGATCCTCACCGAAGGAGATTGACATCTTCAGAGAGAACCCCAAATACTACTAAATTCGCCTTTTGCATCTATTACTTGCAGAGCCTAGTCTCGAGACTTCGTTCTTCGTCCCCGACAACTTTTTGGGTCACTAACTCCCTCGCCCTCCGTAAGGCATGAAGGCCAGTACAACAATATTTTACCTACTCGGAAGTGCACAAGAACGGCATCAGCGGCGGCGCGCTTGACGAACAGGACTCTCACGCGGTCGGGGTTCTGGAGAGCGAGGCAGCCGGAGACGTCGGCGATGAACCAGGCTTCCCACTGGCAGTAGTCGCTCCCTGTGATGGTGGAATCGGAGGCGGCACGACCGGCTTCGCACCAGCCCTGAGCGCCCTGGTTGAGGTAGTACCTTGTTTCGGTTTGAAATTTTTCGGTCGGTTGTTATGAGGCTTGCAAGGTCCTCTCTGCAATTGCTGCGTCTTCATTCTTGCCAGTGTATGCGAGGAAAACAATGCTGGGAGCCGACCGAACGAGAGTGCAACAATATATAAAATCCTGCCATTCGTCCAGCCCTGGACTCATTTTTGTGAGAGTTTGTCTCTCGCCATGTGGATGTATCTAGGGTAAAGCTTCGTGAGGTGGAAACTGTCGAGGGTCTCGTTTTGTCGTTTGCAAGATGTCGTCCAAATACAACGAACGGCGGTGGTGTCTCTTTGCGCACGAAGAAAGCATTGCGCTTAGTGTCGCCTCGCTCTCGCTCTCACCCTTCCTGCACTCCGCTCCCGCCGATGACCTCGATGGCCATGGTCAGGCGGAGGGAAACATCCAGGCTGACGGCCACCACACCCCACGACGGGTCAATCCTATCGGTCACCAAGCCGCTGTACAGTGTGGACCCACTCTCTTGGGCCTGCGCCGTAAGCTCCGTCATGGCTGTGACCGCACCGTCTTCGCCGAAAGTCCCCGCAATGACGTTGTCGACCAGACGAAAGAGAACAATAACATTGTTGGCCTGGAATTTGGTGCAAAGTATCGTCAGGAAAGGGGAACGTGGCAGTAAGTGCTGGCTGAAGGGTTGGGCAGGAATAGTCCAGCGATGTCGTGGTCGTCGTGGACCACCCTTGCTGCATCTATCAATTGTGGTGCACCATATCCCTCTCACACAGTTGTCACTTTTCGTTGCACAGTAGTGAGCTACCCTTCCTAGTACACCGAGCACGATCTTTACTTTCAATTCCGTAAAAAACAAATGCTACGGTTTTGTACCTCCCAGTCATGGTGCACCCGACCTGGCGCGATCTCCATCACCAGCACCCTAGATGAGCTAATGTTTGCCGCTCGAGATATGTCTTGGACGAACTGCGTGACGAACGTTTCTCGCGCGACCGTGTCGCCGAGGAAGATTCCGTTGGTGAGATGCGCCCCTGGCCCGTCTAGGATGGAGTAGTCCACCTTCGTGGGGAGAAACGAACTTTGTTAGTCTCCAGAGAAAGAAAACTAATGCCGCACTCAGGGCATTCCTGACACGCCTTGGGGATGCATCGCTTGCGATTGTCGAGCTCGAGGCTTACTCGGCGGGTCCAACCGGAAGCCTTAGACAGGCAGCTTATAGCGCAGTGGTAAACAGGGAAACACGTATACAGCACTGCATCAGTACGGTTCCCTCAAAGACAAACCAAGGAAGGGCGGTCCTCCAGCTGAGCGTCAGCAAATAATTCTTTATCTACAAGACCACGTACATGCATCCACAACCATTTGGACGTTTGTACGTTTACCGAACATATTTCCTACACACCCCGCACCACCAAAGCAGCACCGTGTGTGCTACACGCCCAACGTGGGATCGGTCTGTCCTGTCCGTGCTTTTGAGCAAACCATCGGATACTTAGTGCAAAGCCCCCAATAAACATTTTGAACCGCAAATCCGCAAATACATAGCATAGAAGTACCAAGTATATCGTACTACAGGTGTTTCATAGTACCTTGCAAGTGAGATCCACAAAGTCGGTACTGGAGAACCTCTGGGCCGTCTCGTTTGCGCTTCGCATGTTCTGCACCATGTCGGCGTCAATAGTCAGCTCGATGGCGTCAACCATTGCAGGGCAGCCGCGGCGGCAAGACGCTATCACCACTACGCACATGACGAAGGCCACATGCGCACAGTAGTGGCGTATTCTCGCCGCACAACAGATCATCAGAGAAGAACTATGTCGCCGACTCCAACGTCGATGTGGTCGGCTCATGTCTTGCTCGGCAAGACGCCATGGTCGTGAGTCAGCAAATGCCGGTGTCATCGCTTCCAAAAGATCGAAGCAGGTTTCCCTCTCATCTTAGCTCAACTCGTCCCAATCGCACGGGTCCGACTGTATGGGAATACTGAATACTGCGCGGCGCAGAACACACACGGCACTGTCGGCGGCTAGACTCGTCGAGGTTGTCGGCAGACCGTCAAAAAAGCGAACAAATATGAAACCGTCAGCACCAAGGAGTTACACAAGGCAAGGATGCGTTCGGGTTCTCACGATGATTCCTCCGCGAAAATGGGATGTCAGTTGTCAGTAGGGGCTGCTTGAAGCCAGCAAGTCTATACCTCGTGTGTCATCCCTCTCAGGCTACACACCTGCAACACCATGGGGGTGCTAGACCTGATGTTGCCGTGGATAACTCGTGCGGCGATTCTTGTGTCAGTGGTGCTGCTGACTCTCACCACCCTCCGTAGGCACTCGGATATCCCGCTGTCGCAGGCAACCCTGCGGGTGGCACATCTCTGCTCCTTCAGGTATACGAGTGTGCCTGCTGATCGGGATGTGCCTAGCTACCCCTCTTCACAGCATCAGCCTGTCTACGCGGTAGCTCGTGCCGACACTGCGGGCTAATTTGCGTGACTCCGTGAGCGGCGACCATAAAATGTAGCCAGTTCGGTTCGCGGCTGCCGCGTGCACCGTGAACAGTTGACTACCTGTATCTGCTGGGAGAGTGTGCTACGAGCTTGATACTCAGCTAAATAGTCGAATTCGGCAGGCAGCAGGACAAAAACGTTTGCTGGCTTACCATTTTTTTTTTTTTGGTAATCCAATCGTGCGGTGTGCTGTTCAAGAGTTGCCCGTTGTGCGAGCACATCCCCCGGATGGCGATCACTTTTTACCTTGGCTGTGGTTTGTCCTGTCGGCGCGCCCGTGCCGATACGCACGCGCGCATTTTATCTTTCGTTCCTGTTTTAATTCATCTACCCGACTGCGCGTCTCGCCATGTGCGCGTCTCGCCATCTACGTGTCGCTTGCCGCCGCTGCCGCCGCCGCTGTTACCGCTGCCGCCGCTACTGCCGCGGTCGGTCGCGCTGCCGTTCGTGGGCTCCGTCTCGCATCGTAGCGTGTGGTTCGGAACAAGCGTCTGGGTTTCGTTCATTGCTGGAATCGTGCTCATGCGAGCGGTCACCATGTGAGAGACAAAGCGAACACGATAATTAGGATCGGGGCAAGAGACGCACCTTTGTAGAACCACGGTAATAAGCTGTTGCATGTCCTAGCCTGCCCTCTTCGTCCGCAATGCAACGAGAACGAGTTGTTGTGATTACCTCGCCAACAAGACGACCGATGCCACTCTATCTCCCCGTTCGCCTCTTTTCTTAACCCCCCAGAGGTCCTATTCATGACTGGGTTCCCTTCCAAACCCCCCCTCCCCCCCGCGCTATGTTTTCTTGCCTGGACGACGTTAACACGGCGCACCAACAACAACGCCGTCACCACGAAAAACCACCGACGAAAACACGACGAGAAGGGAAACATTCGGCCTGGCCCAAGCCAAGCTCTTCGACGCGTACTTCAAGTTCAGCCTGCTGTGCTTGGCCGTAGCAGGCTTCACCGGCGCGGCACTAAGCTCCTCGTCCTCCGCCCGGAGCGATGGCGACGACGGCAGCACCGTTGGCGCTACACCGTTCCTCGTTGCCGTCGCGTGCGTCGTGGCCAACCTTGTGTTCTTCAGCCCCCAGACGACCATCACCATGATGGAGCGGAGTCGGGTCTGCAAGGAGTTGGGCGTGGACCGTAAATCCCCTGACCCGCAGGTACGGACTCATTTTTCTGATTCATCTTGAAATGCGCGGGGGTCAGCGTACGGCACGGCGGTGAACGTGGTGAATTTGCACATGGTGAAATGCGGGGGCCAGCGATATGTATGGAAATTTCCAATGTTGAAGTCTTCAACCCCCAAACGAATCCGTTCGTTCTGAAAATGGCATTGGCGCATGCGCGCGCTCTCATGCTATGTACACGCCAGAAGACGTTTCACATTGGAGCGCGTGTGGCCTTCTTTCAGTGATACCAGCTAATACCGTTTAAGCGGAACTATACTAACTCTAAAGCTTTGCGCAATGACCCGCACCTACTGAACTGTACCAAACAAAACAACCAACAGGTGCGGAAGCTGAGCAAGAGGTTCGGCATGTTTCACGGAATAGCGAACCTCATCAACCTGGTGGCCTTGGCTTGCGGCGCCGTCCACCTCTGCGCGCTGGCCGAGAGGCTCAGCTTGTAGTCTGTCACAGCTGAATCGCAACTCATTCGTTGTTTTTTTCTCTCTTTTGTGTCTTCTTCTTGTAGTTTGGTGTGGTAGCAAAGCGGAAGTAACTGCTGTGGTAGTCTCTTGGACCAAGAACGTACAGCTAGCGCCCGCAATTAAGATATTTTGTTAAGAAATTGAGGCTTACTTTTTCACGAAAAATAAGAAAATAGGGTTAAGAAACATAGCTCAATCTGGGTCACACAATAAGAAATGTCTCAAAAAGAAACACAGCAGCGACCGCTGCCCTACCACGTAAGAAACGAGGGGTTACGGGGGAGTGTGTCGAATAAGAAACAAACCCCACAGCTCTCTCGCTCTTTCCCCCTCTCCCCCTACCCCCCCCCTCCCATAGTGCACTATTATTAGTTGTACGCCGAGGGGGGAGTGTTTTTTTTTGCGGCGCCCCCTCCGGCCTCCTGCGGGCTCTGCGCTCTGCGCTCTGCTCTGCTGGCGCTAAAGCTCTGATTTTCGTTGTTGGCATGTCAGCTTGCGGGTGAGGCATCATGCGGTGTTTATGCATTTGTTTAGTTTCAACCCTCACTCATGAGGGGGGTACAAGACCTTGTAGCGATAGCAAGACGTTGCCGTTGAATACATTTCGCTTCTAGGGAGTGACCTTACGTGCAGCCGTCGGTAGTGAGAATCGGGGTTGAGTACGGGAGGTGAGGAAAGCAGAGAAATAAGAAATTGCCGATTTAAGAAATTTAGCAGGATTTGGCTGCACGAAAAAATAAGAAACACGACGCTATGAATTCATTGCTAATCTGTCTCAGACTCTTTTCTATGATAGAGATGAATTCGTTGTTTCATATTAAGAAAAAAATAAAAAATAAAAAACATGATATAAGAAACTGAACGACATACGCTGAGTTTATAGCCCACAAAAAGAATTCGAGGCTGGACCTGAGATAAGCGTTTCTTAATTGCGGGCGCTAGCTGCATTCGATGTGCTGTTCGAGTACTCTGTGGCCGATTTCTGATGCTGCTGCGTGTGTTGAAGGTATGTAGAAGTTCATATTAGAAACTAGAATAATTGTCCCGTGGGTATCTTGCTGGCGTAGAACGAGTTTTTTTATTCAGGCGTGTTGAATGACTTTTTAGAATCTCAGCAGCTCCAAGTTCTCTGTAGAAATAACGGGCCGGGGAAAGCCCGGGCCAGAGAAATCGAACAGCGCCTTTTGTTTCTTGTTCCGAAGAGGAGGGTGAGGCATGATCACGGGTTGGCTCGATTGGTTCTACCTCGAAGAGTTCGGCGTGTACCAAAACTAAGACTCTTGCGCACTCGTTCCGGCATGTTTATTTGAGTCCTCTCGGTCGCCCCAAGGGGAAAAACCGACGTGGCATCATTCCGGAACCATCACCACCCAGCACAGCCCTTTCGTGGTCATGATATCCCACCCGGCAAGGCATTATTTTTGCGAAAGCAACAGCAACGCGTGCCTCTTGCTTTGGGGACCGGCTGCTGTCGTCGATGGCGCTCGCTACTGCTGTACACGTGACAACCACCCCCTGGCTCAGCCAAGTGAATCCCGCGATAAAGGAGCAATCGGCGGGACACGGGGCTCATGAGTACGTCGTCGCACGGTATCTCACGCTGCCTCTTTATCCATGGGGACTTCGTGGAATATTTCTCGAGCGAACCCACGCCGTAGAGTATTGCTGTTTCTCCTCAGCGTCAAAAACAGCAGTTTGTTTGCTTGTTGCGGCGTTTGTTGCGGCGCACCAACTCGTCGTCAGCTTTCAAAATTGTTAGGAAAAAAAGGAATATACAGCTCGACGCATTGGTACTATCGATAGACCCCGCCGCAGAACGAGCCGACCAGTCTCAACCATGCTCCCAGATCGGACAACTAACGCCCCTCTCTGATTCTGATAAGCGCAACGAACCCAAGCCAATCGTATGTGCTGCGCATGGTCACACAAAGGCCTGCTTCGCTACCTTACACTGCAGCTCGTCTCCACTTCAGCCGGGCTATCCTAGTTTACCAAAACGGTTACTTGTTGGTTTTATTTGCTGCGATACGTTGTCCGGAGGACGGCGGAGACGATGTCTTCCTTCGACGGCAAGGCCATCCGCTCGAGGTTGAGCGCATACGGCATGGGCACGTCCGCGCCCGTCACCTGAGAAGAAAAAAAAATAAAAAGCACGAGGGGTTGTTTTAGGGAGGCATTTCTCTGGGTTGGAATGCGGCCAAGGGCGAATGTCTGCCCGCACACAACGAAGTCCGAGGGCTCAATATTCTTGTGGGAGTCGGGGGGAAAACGCTGTGATTTTGGCGAGACCCGCCACGCCAAGACAAATTCGAAGTGGATGGATGGATCAGTAATGGACAGGGGTCGAACAAAGGCCAACAAGCCGCACATCTCGAAGCTGCGGAGTCGCCGGCCACAAGATGTAAAACCTCGCGCGCGAAATACAAAATGTAAACCAAAGAGGCAAAGGCCTCAATTGACGTATGGAACCGAGGGGGGTCTCTGGCGGACAACTAAAAAGACGGGGAGGTGAGCCCCTGTAGTGTGTCCCAACCATGTGCCCCCCACCCATCAGAGCAAGGTACGCGGATTCAAATGCTGGAAGCACTGCTACCCCCTCCCCCCCCGGCATTTTTTCGGGCGCTTAATCCAGATTGTTCAATGCGTTCATTGTACAGGATACAGTACGTAAATATTAAAGTCTACACATTCCTTGTATAGGCTTAAGTATCGTATCAAAACCATGAACTACGACGTGCGTATGGGATTTTATGTGTTTACTAGGTACGAGGTGTATAGTTTATGCCTGCCCATACTACACCCAATACAATAAAAAATATATAGTTTGTACTACACTATACCAAATCCTACTTGAAGTGCCATATACGGTAGATAACAGTCCCCCCCCCCCCCCCCTTCCGCTCCCCCCTGAACTGGGCCTTAATCCAATTTGTGGCGGCACTTCCAGCATTCGAATCCGCGTGCCCTCTTGATCAGAGCAGTCACGCCAAACCTCTCAAAAACAGCAGCGTCTTTTACACCAACGACAGCAACAAGAGAGGGAGGGCCCCCTCACTCACCCGCTCGATGGGTGCGTCGAGGTGGTCAAACGCCTCCTCGCAAACAACGGCCGAGATGTCGGCCCCGATGCCGTTCTGCGGCCAGCCCTCCTCCACCGTCACGAGCCTGTTCGTCTTCTGGACCGACTTGATCACCGTGCCGTAGTCCAGCGGGCGCAACGTGCGGAGGTTGATTACCTGCAGGGAACGGGGGTAAACGGGGGCGAACGGTGGCGACGAGAGCGTTGGAGGTGGCGGTTGGAAGCGCGTTGCCGAACTCTACTAGTGCGTTTATTTCACTTCGATGTAATGATGAACGCTGCTGTCACCGGTTCCAAGACCATCTTGAAGAATTGCCATCTCATCACCGCCTACAACCTAACTGAGTCACTCAGGAAGCGGGCAAGAGCGGACAAAAGCAAGGCTGCAAAAACGACAAAAAAAACGTTCCTCCTTTGTCTGCTGTTTTACCTCGGCGCTAATGCCCTGCGCCGCGAGCATTTCCGCGGCCTCGAGCGAGGTGCCCACCATCTTCGAGAAAGTCACGATCGACACGTCCGTACCTGCGATGATACACATGGAGAAAAACAGAAGACAGAACAGAGGACCTATGAAATAACTGAAGGACAGATGAAGTGACAGAGGGCAGACAAAATAGAAAATGAAGAACAGACGAAGTAACAGAGGACAGATAACATAACAGAGGAAGGACAGATGAAGCAACAGAGGACCACGCGCGGCGTTAATTCTGTTCCCCTTGGCAAGACAACCACTGCCGTCGAATGCGTCCGTACCCGCTTCGGAAGCGGTAGAACGGTACACCGAATTTCGCGACAGCAGAACTGCTTCCGCCACGTGAGCACGCAGAGGCATATACAAAATTGTTTCCGCGACGGTTACACAGGTGAGTAGAATACTACGGTAAAGGTGCGAGTAGTCGCACCCCCCCTGTAGGGCGACTTTCAAAGCTGAATTGCTCCGCAACTCAAGACATGCGCAAAACCGACCAACACGCGCAAGGAAAGTTCTCGCCCCAAGACCGCTTTCTGGCATTTTCCCGGCAGCGTCACCTCATGGTTGCGGGACAATTGAGCTCATCGCAGAGTCGGTCTACGGGGTTGTGTGGAACAACCTTCACGAAAAAAAAAAAAAAATCTCACCCTCCTGCTCGACTTTCGCCTTCCCGATGGGAATCACGAAGTCCTCCCCCTGGGCCTCGTCCGTCATGGGGAACGCCACCCCGTAAAGCAACTCGTTCTCCAGGAACACCACCGGGTTGGGGTCCCGAATCGCGGACTTGATGAGACCCTTGGCGTCCTCGCTGGACCACGGGGAGACCACCTTCAGTGCTGGGACGGACGAGTACCACGCCGCGAAACACTGGGAGTGCTGCGCGCCTGATTGCAGGCACGTGTAGTCGAGCGGGGGCGGGGAAGGGGGGGTTATAGGATGGTGGTGGAAAGCGCGCACGAAGGGGGTGTGTGTGCTCGTGTTCTGCACTGTTGGACCATTGGCCAAGAGAGGAGGGGGGGGTGCCTTTCGTTGTCTCTACTGCGTGCGTGAGGCCTGCGAATCCTCAAAACTTGGAACACGGACGGACTACGAGCGTCGTTCAGAGTCTACAGCAGCAAAAGCAGTGGCAGCGGAAGCCTAGGCCTGGCATTGTGTGTGCTTCCATAATCGTGAGGACGACCTTCACGTCCGACACTCTTTGCCCATTCCCTTCCCCTCTCAAACCAACCCCCTCCCCCCCCCTCCCCGCCACTCGCCGAATACCTCACGGAGCTTTGCGCTTGGTGATGTGAGAGCCTGGTCCGGTGAGAACCCGGCGTGCTCCGTCCCGGCTTTGTAGGGATGCGAGGTCAATGGTCAAACGACTACGGCATGCACGGCTATGAGTACCCCCCCCCCCCCCCCCCCCCCCCCC